TTTTTTTTTTTTTTTTTTTTTTATTGTTATTTTTACCATTATTCCCGTTTGGCTTCGCCCGTACATCTGCAGTGTATCGAACGAAAAAATATTAATAGGCGGAAAGCGGGTAGTCGTACGTTTTTTTTTTTCATCCGTGTCATCATAGATACCCGCACGGCACAGGGATTAAACTATATCGTAACCGTTTTAATATAATAACGCTAAAGTTACTGGGATATAATAGTACCGTATATAGTGCTGTTACCGTACTAAAAAAATACTATGATTCAAGATCACGTTTTACGTGTTTTCACTTTTCACTTACCTGTCCAGTGCAGCGCATAGTTTTTTTTTTTTTTGTTTCATACGCTTTACCATAATTCAATGATGAAAATAATTTAATTTTCGTACCGAAAATATCTAAAAATCTTTCGTATCATTCGAGTTTTGTTTTCGCGACAAATAGTAGTCGGATGTTTTTCTCCAACGTTCTATCTACACCAAAATTTATCAAAATCGGTTCGACGGTTTAGGTGTGACAGTAACAGACAGACTCACTTTCACATTTACCTATAAGAATTAGGATTGCCGGGCGAATTACCGGGGCGTTTCACGAGTCCCCGACCCCGAATGCTGTTTTCGAAGCAATAAACAGAAGGCAATCAGATTCAACGCGTTTCCTAGTTTTCGCAATTATTATGCAGATCTGCAGCGATGTCCGTCTTTTAATACAAACAGTACTGTCTCGTCGTTGACGACCGAATTAAATGAAAATACACCACAGCCAGGACGAGACTATCTCTGATTGACGATCTCTGTTTCCACATCCGATTCTCCATTCCGGTCAGGTTTTCAAAAAAAAAAAAAAATTCCCCGTCCACTCTATTTTTAGTATTTAACAGACGTTTTAAGACGTTTTCGTATGCTTCCACCAAGTTTCTTCCGGCGGCGTACTTGCGGAGGGTGGAGGAGGATTTCGTCGTGTTTTTACAATTGTTTTGAAATTTTCGTTTTCATGAAGTAGTTAATGATCACAAATCCATAGATATTAAAATATATTTTTGTGATCTATGATCGAACCGGATCAAGGTGTCCGGTGTTATCATTTCGTTTTGACCGTTCGACCGTTGTCCCTTATCATTGATTTCTAATTACAAAATAAACGTGCCAAGGTCTCTTATACGGGCAAATTTACCAGGAATAAGTGTACCAGCTAGCGGACGATATCATTGAAAGATTCTCTTTTATTAAATAAAAATGTCTTATTTTATGTATTAAATGTGTTATACTTTACACACATAAAAGAGCCCGAGATTCCTGTGTCTATCAATGAAATTGTCGCAGCTGTGACGTTACTTTTTTAAGGAATTTTCTATTTAAAGAGGGAGGGGGGGGGGTGAAAATATATTTCGCCCCCTCCCCCTCGTAAGTCCGTAAGAAAGGCCTAGATACGCCACTGGCGTCTTCATCTATCACGGTTAGATTCTCGCCATCGTTCACTCTTCTCGCGTCTTTAACGACTCTATCCATCCATCGTTGATCGTCGGGGCCATCCCCCCGGGCGTAACGGTTAGGTTCTCGATTAACGCGTTTCGACTGAGGCTCCCCCGTTGGCTTTCCAAACACGACCTGCCCACTCCAATCGCTTTGCCTCGAGGTTTTTCCAAAATATTTGGTTCGTTGTACTTTATAAGCGCAGTCTTTCTAAGCCCACGGTTTTCCCTCTATTCCCGAACGATCCGAATTAGACACCGCACGGGCCCCGTATACTCCCGCAGCAATTCCATTCCGAACGCCGGCGTTGTGTTCGCCACCGTCGCCCGTCCGGGCGGCGGACCGAGAGTCGCGTGCGTGCGTTGCTGCCGGACGGTCGTAACGGGCGCAATTGGTTTTTCTTTCGGTGTTCCGGACGACGACCACATTGGTGTCGAACGTTTTGGAACTCGCGGCATATTGCGGTCGGTCCGTCGCGTTTACGCCGTTTTGCGTGCACACCGCGGCTCGTTGCGCGCGCCGTCCGTTATCGCGGACGTCGGCTCCCGGGCATTTCAACATCGTCCACTCGTTCGGAACGACACGCGGTTCAAGTTCCGTACCCGTTGGCGACACGTTGACATCGTCACGTCCAATAACGGCTGCGCGTGACGTCACATTGCGCAGTGACGGCGGCCGTCGCCGACAGCGTTCGGCCCGTTCGGTCCGCGCGAAGTACGACGTCGTTCCGAAATCGCGCGCGCACAAAACGTAACAACGTCCGCGCGCGGATCGGACCCGGTGCGCCGCCGCACTTGTAACCGTTTGTGTTTTTTTTTTTTTTTTAATCTAAAACACGAGAATATAAACGAGGCGTACGCACGCGCGCGCGCGCGTGTCGTACGCGACGGAGTGTTTGTGTACTGATGATAATAATAATAATGATAACAGTCACGGAAAAATGTAAGAGTAGAGAGAAAAAAAAAAAAAAAAAAGGTAAAAAAAACACCGAGATACACGTCATACTTATTGTAACGCACGCGTTCCCGGACAAAAGCCGACTAACGATCTCCCATTATACAACCCGGGCAGAAATCTCAATAACAATGTATTTATAAATTAACCGCGCGTTCGTAAAAACCTAACTAATATTAGAATTGAACCGCGTCGCGTACCGGAAATCATTCACGTGACTGACGCGGACCGGCTACGCTCGTAATCGTGCGTTTCGCCCGTTTTACCGACTCCGTCGAGACGTGAGAAAAACGAACGCGCGATAATCGCTGGTCAATTGTTCCGTTAAAAACGAAAACACGCCCGTGTATTTTGTCGTGTTCGTACACCGCGGTCGGAGCGCGAGGGGGGGCACGAGCGAAACGAAAACGGCGTGCGGCGGGACGCCGCAGTCGAATTTTCCGCCGCCGCGGCCCGTTAAAATTTCTTTTGTTTTTCGCTTTCTAACGTTCGTCCGAAAAAACAGCCGTTCACGGCCGTTTTTAAACAACCGCGTTTCCGCCGCTGACCGCGTCTGAATCCGTCCAATAACGCCGGCCTATACCGCGGTCTACTACCCGGCCCCTCCTTTCGGGGGGTGGGGGGGGGTACCCGCATAAAAAGTATTCCGTTATCGCTACGACTTCCGGCAATGACACAA